TATGCTGGTTGTTGGGTATTTTGAAGTCTGGGTATTTTAAGAATTGGCAAGGAGGTGGTTACTGCTTTGTAACGAGTGTGGGTGGAAGGCTGAGCCAACATGAAGCACGTGGGGGTGGGATCAGCTCTGTCACAGGGATGTCCCCTCATACCTTTGGGCTCTTCTCATGAGCATCCCTAAAGGGGGCCTACAGGAGAGATGGGGAAGGACTCTGGGTCAGGGAGTGGAGCAATAGAATGAGGTGTAATAGCTTTAAACTGAAAGAGGGGAGATTTAGAAACGAGGTGTGATAGCTTAAAACTGAAAGAGGGGAGATATAGATTAGATATTAGGAAGAAATTATTTGGTGTGAGGGTGGTGAGAGCCTGGCCCAGGTTGCCCCGAGAAGCTGTGGCTGCCCCATCCCTGGAGGGGTTCAAGGCCAGGTTGGAGGGGGCTTGGAGCAACCTGGGCTGGTGGGAGGTGACCCTGCCCAGGGCAGGGGGTGGCACTGGGGGGGGTTTAAGGTCCCTTCCAACCCAAACCATTCTGTGATTCTATGATGTCTTGCCTTGGGGTCACGCTTCCCTCCCTGATGACTCCAGTCAGTGTTGTGGTGAGCTCTGGCACGTTACTGAGACTCAGGTGTTGGCTGAACCATCGCTGGCAGGGCATGAATGGTCTCCATTACAGTGATTTGACTAAGAAAGGTTTAATATCAGACCCTTCTTTGCCAGTTCACAGTGGACATAGGTGTCGGTGTTTACTTGTGGCTGAGATGCTCAGTGACCAGAATTTATTAATAGTGTCCAAGCTTTTGTGACTTGGGTTTTTTTTTATTCTTTCTTGAGGTGACAGTTTATCCCAGCACCATCTTGCAGCCCAGGGCATGCACTAGACCTGGAGGGTGCAGCTGTATTTCTCCTTTAGCAGTTTTGATTTTTACCTGGTATTTTTCTTCCCTTGATCCTTCCTCCCTCCCTCCCTGTCTAATCTCCCTGCTCTCCCTTCCAAAGATATCTCTGGTTTAAAGCACAGGTTTCTGAGGTGTTTGATGGACTCATGCATTGTCCACAATTCTGTATTGCTCTTTGATTTATCTTGTAATTGCAGTTGCAGGTGTGACTGCAGCAGGAAAGATGCTGCTGAGCAAGGTGTGGTCGAGCGAGGTCAGGAATTAGAAGCAGAAAAGTGGTTTTGGTGTAGACTTCAGCACAGGCCATCCTTGGACATTGCACATCTTGGGCTACTTGTCACCTTATGGCTTTCAGTGTCCAACCTGAACATGCCATGGGCTCTCCACCAAGGTTTGCAAAGACAGGTCCCACTGACACTGTGGTCTTAGCTTTGGTGGAGATCTCTGCTCTCCCATTCCCTGTTCAAAAACAAACAAACAAAAAACCAAAAAAACCCCCCAAACACCAAATTCTGAGAACCAGCTTCTAGTAAAAACATCCCTTCAGCCTGAGAAAAATCCTCACTAGAGCAGTATAGTCTAAGAACACAGGAAATCTAAAATGTAGTTTCAAGTTAAACTTATTCCTAGGGAGAAAAGTGTGTGTGTAAAACCCCAGGCTTCAGTGGAACAACCTCACAAAACAAAGCAAATAGGGAGAGCAGCACGGCTGGCTGACGTTTCCAGCCTTGCATAGCCTGCAATTTCCCTTTGCATGTTGTGAGTAGCTTAAATGCAAGGATATACTGGGTGTGAGACATCTTCCTCTGCGGGGACTCTCTCCGTCGTAAAGGAGATTCATGGGAGAAGCGGACTGCCTTTAATAGCTGTGTTTTAATTGCCCCAATGCATCTGCTTCTCCTTGTCTGGGGGCTCTTGATTGTTTTTCCCCAGTTCTCACTATTGTCCTTGACTGTTGTTTTGTTTAAGAGGTGAAACAGCTACTTCTGGGCTATCTTGGTTTATAATAAGCATTTACGTTACTCTTGCACCTTTTGCACCCAAAAATACTGAAGTGCTGGGCATAACAGGCTTGCACTGATTCTTGTGAGAGAGCAGCATCATTTATTCCCTTTTTAACCATGAGGCTGAGGGAGATCAAGCAGCTTTGTGAAGGCCACGTTGGAAAGTATGTGGCAGCCTGGGGATAAACTCCAGGACCTCTGGGCTCCCGAGTGTGCCCTCTCCTGAATTGTTTTCATAGGTAGGAATCAGGTAAAACCAGGAATATTTCAGATTGAATTTATTTAGTAAAACGTTGAATCCCAAATATACATGGGAAATCTGGAGTAGGAGATAAAAATAAAAGAGGGGGCTGTCTTTCTCAGTGTTGTTCCTGGTGTTAGACATTCAATACCTAAAAATTTTTAGTTGCCAGGTGTTGGAAGGAAAAAGACATTGTCCATATGCTCAGTGCTGGAAGCATCTGTGTACTTAAGTGCATCATTTTAAGATCATCCATCTCCTCTTGGTAGGGTTGAACTCGCTGCCGCTGTCCTCAAAGCTCTCAAATGGACTCTGGTACCTCTGGAGAAGTTCTTCATCCTTGGTGGACCATTTTCCAAGCGACGACAGAGTGTGAGCACACACACATCTGCCTGGATGGGAAATTCAGGGCACTCTGACAAATTTAAAGTTGCTGTCTACAGCTAAGAGTGGCTGAAAGGAAGCAGTTTACTTAAAAAAAAAATGAATATTGGGGGGAAAACATCAATTTCTGTAGCAGTTACGAAGAGCAAGCTCAGAAAGGTCAGTTGCAATGGCAGGCAGCAGCTGCCCACAATTTCAAAGGCCTGGAGGTAAAATTCAGGGCTTGTGGCCTGAGCCTGGTGGGAAGCACTGACAGATCTGGGAGGAAAGCAGGTCCTTTGAACTGGCTTTGCTTTTGGGTGTTCTGCTGAGCTCTGGGGTTGTGGCTGCCAGGGGACTGGGCTGCAAAAACCTCCCGCCCAGGCAGCTTTCCAGGCTTCTGAAGCCAGTGTGCTTCACATAAAACACTTGAGAAGTTTGTAGCTCTACAGTGAAATAAAACACTTGAGAAGTTTGTAGCTCTACATGGCATAGTCTGTGTGTCGTGTTCTCCAGGTGGTGGACCTCTTGGTCAACTAAGTCACTCCACCAGAGTGTTCCTTCCGTCTCTCCTCTGCCACGTTAACTGGGAAAGCAACTGAGCTGGTCCCAGTAAAAGCTGAAGAGCTCTCCGTATCTCAGACTTCTCCCTAAAAAGTTCTAGCTGAGATTCTGGCCATCCCAAAGAGTTGAAGGCAAGACCATCTCACGCTTCCTCCGTAATTCTTATAGATAATGGCATATTTTATTCCTGTGGCTCCTGTGTTTGCCAGCCCTGGCCCCGCAGGGTGTTTTATTGCACCGAGCTGATGCTGGGAGGATTTATTGTCCTCTATTTAGCCCGGTGCTGCTTCGTTGTTCCGCTCGGTGCCGTCCTAACCCAGCCAACATCCAGGCTGCCCAAGAGCTGCATCAAACCCCTGCTCCCTCTCCATGGGCTGATGCCATCCCACCATTCCCACATGTACGTCACCCTCCCCAAGGGCTCCCCAGCGGATCTGCTCCCACTCCTTCCAGGCATTGTTCATGAGAGCTATGAAGTTTAGTGTTGCAAAAACCGAGCTGCTTTGTTTGGAGTGATTTGGAGTAGAGGTTTTCATCATCCGTGATGGTTTCTCCTGGCGATTGCTTTCTTTCAGTCATTTCTGTAATTGCGGTACTCGGTTTCCTGTGGATTTTTATACTTCATTTGAGATTCATCTGAAGATGGCGTGTTCCCATCTCTAGGAATGTGGCCAGATTGAGACACGAGCTGCCTAAGCTGGCTGCTCAAATTGCAGGCCATATTTCTGTTTCATCCTGAGATGCTGCTCTGATTTTCCGAGGTGCCCAAGACACAGCCTTCCAGTGCCTGCAAGGAGCCCTGTAATTCACGACCGAGAGTATTTTATAGTTATCTCTCTTTCCATCCTACTTAATTCCAACAGTAGCTTCTCATGAAGACCGGCTTCAGTTATACCCAGGTGATATTTTCATTTCTGTATCGACTGATGGCTCCAAATGACAGGTACCAGCAACTGCCTGTCCGTATGGATGCTGTGAGTGCTGTGGAGCCTGGCACCGGGTCCTGCTGCACCTTCAGGCACAGAGCTCAGCGACCAAGCAGCGAGCGGAATGTAGCGCTTGCAGGGATATTGGCATTTTCCTAGGTCATTTGAAGAACGGTCGATTCCTGTACACGGGGCTAAAGTGTAAGGTTTCCACCCAGAAAAGCCAAGGACACAAATAGAAGTGGATGTGTCGTTCACAGAGCTGTGGGTTTCCCTGTGCCCCACAGTCTCTGCCCCACAGATGGAGCAGTTCAGGCTGTGAACACGGGCTGCCCTTAACACTTTGTTTCGCCGAAGGAGAGTATTAGGTTAATGCATGCAAAACAGGTGAGAAATTTAACTTATAATTAACAAATCACAGACCTTTAAAAGCAGACTAGTGGTTTTGTCAGAATCTCATTTCACCAAAACATCATTTAGAAGCCGAGCAGCCAGGCAGGCAGACCTGGAAAGGAGCTGGTTCAAAACACAATAAGCTAACAGAATGTTAAAAAATGAAAATAAAAATCAGTATTTTCAAAGAATGTGAGGTGAAGGCCTCAGTAAAGAGCCTGGGTTCCCCCAGCCCCCCCTTTTCTGTATAAACAGTGTATGTGGATGATACGGATCCAAGAGAAAGTTCACTGCCTTGAATCACTGGTTTATTGCGTTTTTGCGACTGTAACGCTGTAACCACAGGATGTTCCGATGTATTTAAAAAAAAAAAAAAAAAAATTAAAAAAAAC